AATCTAGAAGTGTTTACAAGAAGAACCAGCGGTGTTCGTCTAAGAATAAGAATGATGTATTACTTTGATTCGACAGATCATGAAAGCAAATAAAAAAAAAAAATAAAGAAAGAAATGAAAACTCGTGTTAAATGGACCAGGATTTTTGAGTGCTTGCTTGTTGCGTTAATATTCAGGGAGTCGGGACATCATCCTTAATAGAGTGCATGGCACTTGGCTAACTTTATTTATTTATTTTTTTTTCTAGCGGAGGCAGGGATTCTATTCCTAGCGAAAAATATCTAAATCGATAATATCCTAAAAGAAAAAAAAAAAAAAAGACAAAAGCATTCCTGCGATTCTGTCATCTCAAATTTACGCATGCGTTGCGTGAAAATGCAGACAATACTGAAGTATTTCATGAGCCCATTCGGGTGTGTTTTATGATATTTATTTGCAAGGAGGAGGCTGATCATCGGGGACAGGAACCTTTCGTTAAATCAGTTTTCATTTCATATTCATTTTGCTTTTTCTTTTACTAACGTGAGTTTCTCGTTAGGTTTCTGAGTAACCACTTAACGGCAACTTTAAACTTCTACATCGTAATGCAACTAGCCAATCATTTAAATGAAAAATAAAAAGCAATTCATGTTGCCCGATGACACATCGACGAATAGATTATAGACATGTAATTTAATTCAGTGAAAGGGTAGTAGATATTTGATCAAGAATTTAAATCACACACACACACACACACACACACACACACACACACACACACACACACACACATATATATATATATATATATATATATATATGTATATGTATATAGGCACGTGGCGAGTAGTGAGGACGTTCGCATTCTGATCATGTGATCCGGGTTCGAATCTCGCCATGGTCAATTTGTCACGAGACTTCCGGATGTTATCAGACTGGAGAAGTTCTTTGAAAAGTGCCTGAAAAACCATACCACCGGTTGACCCAAGCCTTGTGAGTGAAATTGGGCAGCGGAAACCTTGGAGGATGTCGATAGCTGTGCAAGCACGAAGTCACAAGTCATCGTGACCGAGGGCTTGAGTGTGTTGGCCTTGTTCGCACACACACACACACACACACACACACACACACACACACACATATATATATATATATATATATATAGGCACGTGGCTGAGGGGTTAGAACGTTTGCTTTCTGACCATGTGACCCGAGTATGCTGGCCTTGTTCATGTTGTTAATCACGCTAGATAACACACTCGCTCCCAAAAACTGTAAATAAAGTCTGCTCAGTATAGTTACAGTATAGATCACTGAGCAGGCGCCTACATAAAGGGATTGGCTAGCCGCCTAAAGAGACGGGTATCCTCGAATACGAGTGGCCAACTATTATTATTATTATTATTATTATTATTATTATTTTCCGCTTTCTTTTTGAATTTGTAGGTCTGATGAATTTGATCTTGGATTCCAATGTAATAAATGATAACCGTGGAATATTAGTGTTTGAGTCTTTTTTTATTATATTCTTACTCTGTCCTGGACATTGAGTTCTACCTGGATTCTATCGTCTTGAAAATTTATATATATATATATATATATATATATATATATATATATATATATATATATATATATATAGAGAGAGAGAGAGAGAGATTTATTTATATTATATATATATATATATATATATATATATATATATATATCGACCACTAATATTATCTATATATATATATATATATATATATATATATATATATATCATTGCACTCTAAGCAAGATGGAAATACTACTAGTACGCAGGTGGTTTACTGAGAATGAAAGTGAAATCGAATAGAGAGAATTGATGGAAGGACAAAAGATAAACGGGCTTCAAGAATATGGAAGATGACGACTGACGTTGCATTCAAATTTTCGAGGAAGCATTAAACGGAAGTGATTTCCACAGGTGGGAATTGAAAAGAAAGTACTGGAGTTGAAGTGACGGTTGCATTTAGCTATTTTAACAGTAAAAAGGTGGTGCCTAGGTGCCAATCTGGTAGCACGCTCAAATTCATATAGTCTGAGCATTAGGGCAAAAAAAGCTCGTGAAAGCAGTTGGCATAAAAATATTTCTAGAAAATACAGAGGGATGCTACGTCACGCCGGTGAGAAATTGAATGATGTCGATATGCCTGGTCAGGATCAGTTACATTATAGATTCTTCTTTGTCAAGAATCTCAAGATATACAGCAGGAATACCAGACCAGATGCAATGCACAGTCGACTTGTAGATTTATATTTGCGCAAAATAGATTCTGGCGAGAAACTTTTTCTGTTCCGACAGAGTGGCCGAACTTCCCTAGCAGTAGATGCAATTATTGATTCGATTAAGTTGGTTCAGTTCAAGTCACCGGAAATCGAAGAAGGCGCTGTGTGTTGCTGTCTTGCAGTCTAGTGTCAGTCATGCTGATAGCAGACAGAAAAGGTTCCCTGAGGTGCTTAAATGAAAGCAGTCTTGTTTTTATATATATATCATTATATATAAGGATTAAACATAAATATTCTATGCTTATAACTTATTACACTGGAATCGTAATCACGATCCAACTCATCAGACATAAAAAATTCATTTTTTGAGTTTGTAGGTCTAATGAATGGGATCGTCATTACGATTCCAATGTAATAAATGATAACCATGGAATATTAGTGTTTGAGACTTTTATATTATATTCTTACTCTGTCTTGTATTTTGAGCTCTACCTGGATTTTATCCTCTTGGAAATAATATATATATATATATATATATATATATATATATATATATATATATATATATATATTTATTAAAGACATTTTTATGTTTAACGTTCTTTTTATAGATACAAGTATTTAAGTAAATGCTCTGTTTATAATAAACAGTATTAAATAACATTTACCGGCCTGAATATCCGAGAAATTTTCATAGAAAACATTCGTCATTTGACAGGATTCGAACCTGCATCCTATACGGAACCGTCATTTACGCTGACGTGCCTAACCTCTCGGACACAAGACTTTGTCCATTTTTTAATATATGACGTCATTTGTTTACATTTGATACGCCATGAGCAGTTATGAATGTACGAGATTCATGGAAGATTGAAGTTTATAAGCAGTAAATTCGACCTTGCCAACCGAACGATCCTTTGTGGCCGAGAGGTCAGGCACTAATATTAGCTCTCTCTCTTTCTCTATCTCCCTATATATATACTTATATATATATATATGTAAGCAAATATATGGATATAGATCCGACAGTATGAAGAAAAATATACTGAAAAAAAAAAACAAAAATCCTAATATGCGATTATGCTGTTTTAATAATTTTTAATGTCAACGTCGGACGTTTCGGTCTAATAGACCATCTTCAGGACATATTCATAAAACATAATTAACATAGACTATATACAATTCAACATGAAAAAGACGATGGACATAAAAGCAATACCAATCCAAACAGATAACTGAAATCTTTTATAAGATCAGCGTTCCGTTTAAATATGATCACGTCATGTCCATCATCTTTTTTCATGTTGAATTTTATATGGTCTATATTAATTATGTTTTATGAATAAATAAATTTTTTTTTTAATATACAAAATATATATATATATATATATATATATATATATATATATATATATATATATATATATATATATTTTATTAGTTTAAATATACATACATATGCAAAATATATAAATACCCATACATATATTTTTTAGAATAAAAATTCCAAAGGAATAATCCAGGTAGAACTCAATGTCCAGGACAAAGTAAGGATATAATATATAACATAAATATTTATATTTATGGTAAATAATTTATTCCATTGGAATCGTAAATACACGATTCAATGGAATAAAATATAAAACATGGAATATATCTTTAAGTTTTTTATAATATATATATATATATATATATATATATATATATATATATATATTATGTGAATTTTAATTCCTGCACTCTATGGCATGAAAAAAAACTCGGATAATAAAATTTATAATTAAAAATATATATTGAACAAAAAAAAGTAAGTAAAAAAAGAAATGACTAAGGACCTCGGTGTTGGTCGAAAATAAACAATGTGCCCTGCAATACCTTGCCAAAAGATAAAAAAAAAAATCTGGTTTGGTACTGGGCTTGAATTCATAAAGTTTAGGTACCATGGTGAAGAGCTCATCCGAACAATTACCATAAAAGTATTTATAGAAAAGGCACAAATAAGCAACTTTACGGTGGTGGAAGAGGGACTGAAACCGAGATGCCAGGTCAGGACCAATAATATTGATTTCTGATTATATTATATAAATATATATATATATATATATATATATATATATATATATATATATATATATATATATATATATATATATATATATATCCTAAATGTTATACAAATATTACTCAAGTGTTATTAGAGTTGTTATAGTATAAGACAGAGTTGGGTTTTGACAATATTGGCATTACCACAAGAATTCCTGATTCTCTAATGAACGCTCTCAAAAAGACAATCTATTCTGGTCACGTGATATATAAACCAAACTAACGAACTGAAGAAAATGGTTCAGTAAAATTAGATATGAAGAAATTTTTGAATTGTTTGATACCAAAAAAAAAAAAAAAAAAAAATAAATGTTTACCACGCCAAGACGAGAATGGCAATAAACCGTTCGATTCAGGGGGAGGGCGATTGAATGAAGGAATTTCATGCAACAATAACGATTTTGCATGTTCTGATTTCTTTCTTTCTTTTTTTTTTTTTTAAATAATGATGTTTGAGTTGATTTTCAAATATTTCGTCCACTTCATTACTTCTGCATTTACAAAGCAACGTAAGGCTAAAATTCTGAAATCCCCAGTGAGGATCGGACATTGTACAGTGATTGCCACGATATCGGGGACGATTTCATTTTGTGCGTCTCTAAATAATCGTTGATCCATTTCAGTCACGATCAAATTCTTTAATATTACGAGAGAATCTCGGGTTTTCGGCCATATCATGTTGAAATTCCGGTTCCCGTAAGATCACCGAAGTTAAGCAATGTTGAGCCTTGTCAGTACCTAGATGGGTGACTGCTTAGGAATGCAATAATTAGCTGGTGTAATGGATAAAAGCTCAGAACTTTTATTTGGAGAGCGGAGTTCCAATTCCAGTTGGATTCGTTATATTCACCTACTCGAAAATACCCTTGGGAAAGGCAAGGATCTGCCTCTTTTTCTCACCAGGTACGTGTTAATTAGTAAGATGTGTTACTAAAACCGTTATTATGTCCCCAAATATAAAAATTGCGTACAAAATATTTAGATTTTGACATTAAATAACCCATAGAGGTGTTGATATGCCGGTAAACACAAAAAAATCCAACCAGAGAAACTTATAACTAGCAACAACTTATATGCCGAATTTCTCACTCTGTCTCACACACACTGAGACACACACTGAGACACACACACACACATATATATATTGCAGGTAACAGATCCGTTGGTATACAATCCAGGTGGATCCTAGTAATATCAAATATTAAAACTGATCCACAGACAGATCAATGTATTTCTTATAACAGACCAACGCTGTCTAAACCAAGTTAAAAAAAAAATAAAAAATTTCCAGACAGTCTTGGGCTTAGGATAACTGGCACACACACACACACACACATATATAAATTAATATATAATATAAAAGAATGGACTTTTTCTAACGGATTTTATTATTTAAACGTCATTTTTAGTGGATACTCAGACTTGGGTAGATACTGTGTTTATTTACTGAACAGTGATTTTATTTATTTACATCTACCGGTCTGAATATTCGAGAAAAGTTTTGAGAAAAAAATAAGCGCTCTCCGACAGGAATCGAACCTTTGTTTGAGTTAAGATAGACCGTCATTATATCCTGGCGTATTTTACACATCCCGACTTGACGTGTAGCTTTCTCTAACATTTTTCGAATAATCAGGCCGATAGACGTAAATATATGAAATTAATGTAATAAAGAAACTGAGCATTTACCCAAATACAAGTATCCACTAAAAATAACGGTTAAGTAATAAAATATTTCAGATTTGCACACACAGAGAGAGACACACACACAGACAGACGGACAGACAAACAGACAGACAGACACACACACTCATATATATATATATATATATATATATATATATATTTACAATTGTTGGAGTGATGTGATGTTTGTGCATATTTCCTTCTACTTCAAACGGTATTTCATGGATAACTATCTTTATATATATATATATATATATATATATATATATATATATATATATATATATATATTGAATCAATTGCTGCATCTACTGCAAGGAAAGTTGGATCACTGTACCGCGCCAGAAGGTTTTTCTCGTCAGATTACATCTTGCACATTTACCATTCGTCAGTGCATTGAATACTTTGCCATATCCGGCCAAGTGCTCCTGCTATTCATATAGAGCTTCTTGAAAATATCCAAAGAAGGATCTGCAATGTAATCGATCTTGACTTGACGTCTCGACTTCAGTTACTTTCTCACCGATATGACATGGCTCCGCTCTGCCTTTTTTACAAATATTTTCAGGGTAACTTCTCTGACGAGCTTTTTATCATGATGCCCAGACTACGTGAATTTAAGCGTGCTACTAGATTGGCATTTAAGTCCCACACTTTTACTGTTGAAATAGCGAAGTGCAACCGTCACTTCTACTCCAGCAGTTTCTTTTCTCGTACTTCAAGTCTGTGGAACACACTTCCGTTTACTTGATTCCCTGATAACTACAATCTTCCAAAATTTAAATGCAGCGTCAATCGCCCCCTTCTATCTTCTTCTTTCAGCTTTTAATCCTTTCCTTGCACTCCATTATACCCAATCTTTTCTCTTGTTTTAATTGTCTTTAAGTTCTTGCGTATTAGTGGCTTTCTCGCCTTGCTTTGGTTGAAATGATTAAAATTATATATATATATATATATATATATATATATATATATATATAATTTACATGTTATATTTTAGTGGATAAGTTTTGGGAGTAATCATTATGTTTTTTTTTTTTTTCACGATGTCAATTACATCTAGCAGTCAGTGCACTCGAAAGAGGTTAATTGAACCTCGCAGGGCCGTGAAACTGTGTGGCGGTTCAGACGAAGGTTTCTCCTCTCAAGGGGAATATTTATTTTCGAAACTTGCCAAATGGCACATCTTCTTTGTTAAGATTTTAGCATGCATGGGCAGGTAGCTGTAAATCTCACCGTTTAAAAACAGGGCGTCTACTCAAACTCGTGTATCCACTAAAATATAACTTTTAAGTAATAATAAATAATTGTTTGGATTAAGAATGAACTTGATTAATTTATATATATATATATATATATATATATATATATATATATATATAATTATTGTTTATAAAAAAATTATAACATAAGTATGTTATAAAATGACTACAAAAATAGCCATTTTGTTTCAAACACATTGGTGTCTTATCATTTGATGAAAATGAATATAATAAAAATTTAAATATACAAACATGATAAGATATGAATATATAAAATTATTGAAACAAATAAAATATTTTTAATACATTTTCATTGATACTTTATATTGAAAAATTTTTTTAAGAATACATTAATCGTTTTTTATTTGTAATTCATTTTTAAGAATAGTAATCGTTTTTTATTTATTCATTTATATACCAATATATATATATATATATATATATATATATATATATATATATATATATATATATGTTATAATAACAATAAAGTTGTCCAAATAACCATTTTCGTGTCAAAACATAAAAAATTGGCCAATTGTTAGATTAAGCTCTGGAACGTTGTATGTTAGGAATGATTAAAGAAATCTTACTGGAATTCTCAGAGGTTTTTATAACACTATTGGACTCTACTTTGAGTAATAAGAATGTATAATTAAAACTCTGCATTCAGCACCATTAACAGAAATATCTTGAGGGAATCGATTATAAACGAAAATGACGTGCTCATCATTAATTAATCATATTGAGGATCAAAGCTCATGAAAGATTGAAATAAAGTTCAAATATATATATATATATATATATATATATAAATATATATATATATATATATATAATTCCAGGATCATTTTACAACGTACATTCTCTCGCCTTCTATCTTTCTGTCTTGGAGTCACAAGTTTCTCACATGTTTCACGCACGATTTCATTTTCTTTTTAGCTAGACTAGTAAGATTAATTTTTAGAATTAAATTTATAAATTTAGTTTCAGTTTTGAAACATGGAAATTTTCTGTGTCGCGATGGAATCATATTTTTAATTAGAAAATAATTACAATATTTTGCTCTGCTGTTTATATCGAGCACTTTTTTTGTTTCTCAATAAAAGTAACTGCTAAGAACGCCGGATTATAACTCTTACTGTTCTTTCTTATTATTTTAATAATTGTATATACTTTTTTTATCAATTCACCCCAAACAAGGCGGTAATTGCCACTAAGACGCAAGGGGGCTACTGAGGGCGAAAGAGAATGAAAAGATTTTAGATGAAACCGGAAACTTAATCCTAAACAGGAAATAATGGATAAAGCTCTACTACAGTTCAAAAGACCGGAGAGGAGTGTGAACCGGACGATAGGCGAACCTATCTACTCCTATTAATTATATAAATGCAATATCAATCTTCCTCTCTCTCTTTGAATCCTCTCTGTTATTCCTTGCGTCCTAGTGTAGTTTTTTTTTTGTTTTGTTTTTGTAGTTCTAGTCAATATTTAATACCCTTTTATTGAGGATAGATATGGCACAAGGCCGAGTTTGTATTTCTAGTCTTTAAGACCCGAACACTGGCAACTGACCATTAAGGGGTCAATTCAATTTCTTTCGGTGACATTTTGTCAGTTCGTCTCGGCCCGTGTTTTATTTCGTGTATCTCCAGCCGCTTAATTAGCCATCTATATACATTAGCTGGTCAGTGGTCACCGACACGTTGACAAATCCTTGACCAGTCCCAATGATCAGTGGCTGTGATGTGGGCGGACAATGGTCAGAACGAAATGGTCGCGTAATGTGCAAGAAATCCGCAGTTAATCCAGCCAAGTTAATGAGGAGTAGAGAAAAAGAGTCCTTGTTATGAAGTGAAGCATGCTTTGACTTTTGTTTGAGCAGCTAGGACTACTGGCTGGGACCGACGCGAAATGGAACGGTGTGTGGCGTTCTTGGTTTCAGCCCAGAGGTCTAAATACAATACATTTACACACTAAATTATTACACACATCCACACTTTGACACACACACACACACACACACACACATATACACACACATACATATATATATATATATATATACATATAAATATAGATAACTAGACTCGTTTCGAAAAACCCTCAATTTTTGATTTGCTAATCAAATCAATCTCGAAAAAAAAAGGTTTAAAAAAGAAAGAGCTACAAACATGAACTTCTGCCGACAAAAAAATCGCACAGATGCAGGTCTGAAGCCCAAAGAAAAAAACCCCGATACGAGTAACAACTAACTAACAAAAAAGCTCAAATAAAAATTTTTAACTTTCCCTGACGATCCGTTTAGGTGAAAGCTAGGTAGGTTTGTCTAAACTAGGTGTATCTATCTATCTCTATATATATATATATATATATATATATATATATATATATATATATATATATAAATAATTTCTTCAAAATAAATATATTAAAAAATCATATTTAAAAATAGCCATTTTATTTCTTATTTCTCGTGTCTTATCAATTTGATGTATGTTGAACGTAGAATAAATACAGTGTAAGACGGATATAAAAGAAAGTTCGGATATAAAGAGATTTTCTCTGGTCCCAAATTAGAGCCTGTGTTAATGTATATGAAATAGAAAATTTTAAAAATATATATAAGAAACCCGGATATAAGAGACTTCTCCGGTTGACAATTCTCTTATATCCGGGTTAATACATTTTTTTTTTCTTTATTCTACATTCAGTACCATGACTTGATAAAAAACTAAACATTGAAACAAAATAGATATTTTTGTGGTGATTTTATAACATATTTATGTTAAAATTTAAAAAAAAATTATATTTGC